ATCTTGAGTACTGAGTGGGCGCCTGTCGCCAATTTGCTGTTTCGCTGTTTGCATACATGACAAGTTGAATAATCGTAGTGTGAYTTYACTGGTATCGGAGCTGGTACCCGCTGTTCCATGCGCCGTCGTGTGCAGGCGCCATAGCTGAGGTGGCCGCTGGAGGAGGGAGTCCGCCATAGCGGACCTTCGGTGGAAGAAGCCGCTGCGCACCTGCATCAAGAAGAAGACGACAGAAGAGGGAGAGAGAGGGAAGGAAGGAGAAAGGAGAGGTAAAGACGAGGAGACAGACATAGCCGAGGGTGAAAAAAAAAAAAAAAAAAGAAGAAGATCAGGGTGCAAGAGGGAGAAAGAAAGAGAAGGTGAAGGTGCCGGCAGCCATAGCTGAAGGTTGACGAAGGTTGGAGGGTTGACCGAGGGTTGACCGAGAGTTGACCGAGAGTTGACCAGAGGGTTGACCAAGGAGGTTGACCAGCGTTGACCGGGCCGATGACCAAGCCGCCGTTGACCAAGACTTGACCAAGCTGGAGTTGGTGAGATCTCGCCAAGCCTTCAGCCTTCTCCCTACCYCGTGGATGTACACTCACCCATTGGTACTTGCTGAGGTCAAGAGTCTGTCTGTCTCTCCTTTTCGCATTGAGTCTCTTCTGTCCTAGGTGATAGAATCTGTGGATGAAGGATAGGGCCTTGCTGCCAAACCCACACGAGCTTAGTAGGACTCCTACTCTGAGACTTGAGGACCTGGGCATGAGCGGCGAGCGCTCGTTAAACAACTCGTCTAGCCCAATGACCGGTACTGACCGGCAGGTTTTTTAATATCAGTTTAGTGGGTCTGAACTCTGAGCTGTGGGCTGAAACGAAGGCCGTCGTTAAGTATTGAGGCCTGGTTGAGCCACTCCCCTACCGGACCTAGTAAGGCTGATGATCTGTGTCTGACGACTCGACTGTCCCGAGGGATACGAACCCCTCCAAGGACCGGTACAGACCGGCGGGCTGCTCGGTGTGGCACAGTAGGCTGGACGGGCCGAGTTGTGGGCTGAAATCGCCAGAGGAACCAAGCTGATCGCGTCGTCCTGTCTGCGACGTTAAAGAATTCTTGCGAAGTTGGGGGATCTTCTAAAATACCTCCTGATCAGCTTTTGGTTCTGTAGTGACAGCCTTAGAGTAGTCTTGGGTTAGTTGCCTGTGGTCCTTAGGGAGTCAGTCAGTAGGTCAGTGTGTCCGGGTAGGTCTACGTGGTGAGGAGTGGGACCCCTGTCGTGCACCAACACCACGATGGATGACTATCCGATGTATGGGGTACTTGTTGGGTTCTCCCTCTGGGGGACCCTCTGGCGTCTCCTCTTTCCTCTGGGCTTTTGGCCCACTCTCACGTGTAGAGTAGGGCCCACTCGCGGTGGGACTTCCACCACCCCTTACACGAAGGAGGAGGAGGAGAAGATGGCCGCCATTCTGCAGGAGAAGGAGGCCAAGAAGAAGGCCTTGAAGGAGGAGCAGGCGGCCAAATTAAAGAAGATGGAAGAAGAGATGGTCAGGGAGAAAGAGAAGTTGAAAAAGGAAGAAGAAGAGAAGCTGAAGGAGGTGGATGAAGAAGAGGAAGGACCGCCACTGCAAAGGAGTAGTGGGCAGCCCAGTAGTAATACCGGTGGAGACTTAGAAAAGAGGATATCTGAATGGGTTGCCAACCTGACTGTGGGAGAAGAGGAARAGGTTAGTATGTACATCCCGCAGGATCAGCAAGAAGCCGCCATGAAGGCTTGGGAGGCAGAGAAAGACCCTCTGAAACGTCAAGCGTTGGAAGACGAGAAGAGGATGGAATGGAAATTAGCGGTGATGCGGGMGAAGAAGAGGAGAATTGACAAGGCAGCGGAGGCGGCAGAGGCCTTAGAGGAAGTGAAGAATATAGAGGCGCAATTAGCTGCCCARCCCGATCTCCCAAATCAAATGTGAGTCATAGCTCGAAGCGTTGCATGCCTAGCACGGGTTCAGGCAGACCAATATGACTTTAGCAGAAGCCAGGACATAGCGGTGCGCTCGATACGGTTGGGCTTTCGAGACTTTGCTCGCGAACTGGTAGGCGCAGTTGGAGTCGAGGTGGGTCATCGCCTCGACAAGACTGAGCGGTTCTGCGCCGGCGCCATTGAAGGCGTCAAGGCGGCAGCTCCCAAGGAGGAGGAAGCACGTCTTCCTCGCCGGGAGCCTGTCAAAGTCAAGTTCCCCGATTCCTACAGCGGGAAGAGGGAGGAAAACTTTGACAATTGGGAGGCCAACGTTAAGACCTATGTGCACTTGCAACAGGTCTCCC